TTAATTCTGGGTCTTCTGAAGAAAAGTTAAATGCCCTGGACTCCTCATGAATATGTCCTAAAAGAGAAGTAGACAATAATGACATTATAAGAAGATTTGGTGGCATCTATAATTTTTTATTTATATTCATTTATTCAACGGGAATTTTATTGACTGGCTATACACTCAATATGGCATTGGGCACCATAATATCAAAAAAATCCTATCATCATCCTGCTTACCATATACTAAGAAAGACGGAAAATTTATGAAGTTATGTAGGAGCTACGAGTATTGGTTAGAGCAAGTATAGAGAACTAGTACACAGCAGGGATACCAAAACCCGTAAGGAAGTGCAGGGAAGCTTGCCAGAGAAAATGACCTCTAGGCAAAGTTCATGGAAGCTGAACCTTATGAACTGAAGAGCAGGAAGCAGCTGAGTGTGGCTGAGGCATAGAGTACACAGAAGGGAGAATAGAGTGCTGAGAGATAATACTAGAATTATAAGCAAAGACCAGGTCAAGAAGGGGCCATGGGACATTAAGGATGTTGGACTTTCCTCTGGAGGCACTGGGGAGCCGTTAAAGCATTTCAAGCCAGGGAATGTATGGCAACACCAGTTCTGCATTTACAAAGTTCAAGGACTGGAATACAGTAGGGTGGCAAGCTAGCAGCTGTTGTGGTCATCCAGGTGAGAGATAACGGCAACCTGGACTAGACAGGGGGCAGTTGGGAAGAAGAGAAATAGACTCAGGAGGGATTTTTTTTAGAAGATAAGATCGACTGGACTTTGTAGGTGATTTATGTAGGAAATAAGGTAAAAAGAATTGATCAAGGATGACTGTATGGTCTCTGTTTGGATGACCTGCAGATGTACCTTAGTGGAATTCTGAACACACAGAGAGAAACAGGTCTGTGGAGAGAGACCATAAATTCCATTTTGGTAAGTTGAGTTTCAGGTTCCTGTTAAACACACTACTGGAAATACTGAGAGAATTGCTACTCAACAGAAATGTAATGCAAGCCATAAATGCAAGCCACATACCTAATTTTAAATTTTATAGTCCAAAAAAAACCTAACCTGTTGCTGTCAAGTCGACTCCACTCATAACGACCCTACAGAACAGAGTAGAACTGCCTCATAGGGTTTCCAAGGAGTGGCTGGTGGATTTGAACTGCTGACCTTTTGGTTAGCAGCCGAGCTCTTAACCACTGCACCAAGAAACAGGTAAAATTAAACCTAGTATATCCAGAATGTTATCATTTCAATGCAGTCAATATATAAATTATCGAGACATTTTACATTCTTTCCTTTGTACTAAGTCTTTGAAATACAGTGCATAATTTACACTTACTGCACATCTCTATTTGGACTAGGCACATTTCAAGTGCTCAATGGCCACATGTAGCTAGCAGCAACTGCACTGGAGAGTGTCAATCCCAGGGGCAGTTGGATATATGGCTCTGGATTCTAGATGAGAAGAAAAAAATCTGGAATCATCAGTGAATTGTAACTGAGGTTGTGGGGAAAAGATCACTTGGGAAGAGTATGCGTCTTGAGAAGAAAGTTAAGCTCCTCACAGAATCCTAAGAAATACCAGCATTTAAGGGACAGGAGAAGAGCTTACAAAGGAGACTTAGAAGGAGCTCACAAAAAATCTAATGGTAATATGATTTTTGTTTCATGTAATTGTCTCTATACAAAAGAAAGCATTTATTTAAATGCTGGGATTGATAAAACCAAGAGCTAGTCAAGCATCATCACTGTGGGAGCCCTGGAGAAAAATGGTCGCTGAACTGAGGTCCTGACTTCCACTGGTAGGGCTAACACCGCCTCTGCCTCATCAGGAAGAAAGAAGTTGGTAGAAACAGAAGCTGGAGAAGGAACGCAATCCAGAATACCTCCAGAAAGCACACTTTTAGCACTGGTGTGAGAGAGAACTATAGAAGCAGCACTCATGCAGATTACGCATGTTGTCACTTTAACAAAAAATAGATTCTGCCTTTTAGAAGATGAGAGGTTTTTCTTCATCCAGTATCAAATGTTATGACCAACTTCAAACGTGTATATACTTCTGTCAACCCAGCTGCTAGGATTGAGTCATCGCTGTTGTTAGCTGTCATTGAGTTGGCTCCTGACTCACAGCAACCCCATGCACAATGGGATCAGACTATTGTGACCCATAGGGTTTTCATTGGCTAGGTTTGAGAAGTAGATAACCAGGCCTTTCTTTCGAGTCCATGTTAGTCTGGAAGCTCCTCTAAAATCTGTTCAGTATAACAGCAACATGCAAGTCTCCATTGACGGATGGTGGCTGCACACGAGGTGCATTGGTCAGGAATCAAACCTGGAGGGTCCCCACATGGAAGGCAAGAATTCTACCATGGAACCACCAAAGCCCTCACAGAAACCTATAAAATAGGAAGTGCCACAAATTTGGGTGTCTGTCAGACTTAATTAAGACAGGGAGGGATAATAATAGTAGGTCTTCAATGTCAAACAAAGAACTTGTAGTGAAAAGGACCAGAGAGGGAACTACCAATGGAGAAATCATACTCCAAGGGTTGAATTTATGGCAGTTCTTTGCCCTGGGGCTGCCTTGTTTATGCAGCTATGTAAGGCCTCACTCTTTTGCCCCCTTGGGACCTCTTGCTGAGGGAAGGGGTAATCATTGAAAGTGAAGACAGCAGGGTGCTTGTATCATATCAGATCTCCATCAACATGCAACCCCAAAAGCTCATGACTGTGAGAGCTTTGTAAATCAATTCTTAGGGTGCTTGCCCCCAGGCAAATAGCACAACAAATTAATCCTTTTTCCGTGAAATGCAGTCAAGTTTGTATCTACGCCGAATTCAAATTGCTCATTAGCTCTGACATGTTCCTAATGAGGTTATAATGCCTTGGGACAAAGATCAAGTCACTGAGCACAAACAGCTCGGGAAGGACTTTAGAGCAGTGTGTCTCACACTTTAACACGAATCACCTGGGGATTCTGATTCAGTAGGTCTGGGGTAGGGCCTGAGGTTCCACATTTTTAACAAGCTCCCAGATGACGCTGATGCTGCTGGTCCATGGGCCAGACTTTGAATAGCAGGGCCTTAGTGATCATCTAATCAGACTGCCTTACCCTAGAGGTGAGGACACTAAAGCCAAGAGACTTGAGAGCATGCTGAGATTCCTTTCGGGCTGGATTTGGGGCACACAGGCATTTGTCCATAAACCTGTGGGTCAACCTGAAGACTCCTTAGGTCAACCTCCTTAGGTGGCCAACTGTCCTGGTTTTCCTGTGACTGAGGGGAGAGGTTTCCGGGAAGTAGGGTTTTCATGTTAAAAGCAGGACGAGTTGGTCACTCTACTAAAACCAAACCAGTTGCCACCGAGTTGATTCCAACTCATGGTGATCCCATGCACTCCATAGGGTTGTCATGGCTGTGACCTTTTGGAAGCAGATTGCCAGGCCTTTCTTCCAAGGCACTTCTGGGTGAGTTCAAACTGCCAACCTTTCAGTCACTCTACTAGGGTACCTTTTAAATCTGCTTAGAATATGGCATCAGGATTACTGTCTTATTGAAGTTGTCAATCCCTGAGTGCTAAGATCACTCAGCATCTGCCAAAGTAAGCACTCAAGAATCCTGTCCTGAAGCTCTCAAAGAACAGATGCTAAAGCAGGATCGCCTCTGCAGAACCTTCCAACACTATATTGCAAAGCACCTCTCCAAGAGACAGCCTACTAGTAAGTCTCAAAGTAATGCATAAAGAAGGAGTAGCAAGAAGGACACATGGAAATATCATACAAACCTATTATGTGCCTTTGAACTACGTGAGTCTATCTTATTTTCCTCATTTGTAAGAAGTATATAAGAAATAAACCCCAACTTTTATAAATCTCAAAACACTCATAGAAAACACCATTGGTAAAAATCACTAGCATAACAATAAAAATCAGGCGGCATCCCTGAAATTAAAGAAAAAGTCATGCTCTCTACACAATTAAAATTATTAGAAATAAAAACGTACTCCTCTATATTGTTATTGTACTCACTGGAATTGGGCCCATTAACATTAGTAGAAAAATAAACAGTCTAGAAACCAAAAGTGGAAAACTTTCAGTTTCTTCAAAGCTAGCAGCCTATTGCTAAGGCTTCCAATACAGAATATCAAGACTCCTATTCCATATGCATTGAAGATGCAGTCAGTGCAATCCTGACCACATTGACTCTCACACTCTGGAGTCCACCTGTTCAAACAAAGTGCCAATGCGGCCTGGTGGAATTGCTTGACTTAATATTCACGAAGTCAGGATACTTAAAACATAGGAGAAAATAAGAGTGGCTAAATATATACAATGCATTTGAAATAGGTAAAAGACAGAACCCTAGACACTCAGCAATCATTACCTGGAAATTAAAGAGGGCAGAAGCAATCCTAGTATGCATTATAAACAGCCCAGCTGCTGACTTAATGATAGTTTGAGTAGCATATCCAAGGAGTCCTTGCTTCAGTATTAATAGGAAATGTATTGTACGAATCCAATAGTTCATGAAATTAACAAGGAAAATGAACTGGAGTGAAGCAACTTTGCAAGTAATAGGAGGCAGCAGCAATTGCTTCCCTGGAGCACAATGAACACCTAAAAAGAGCTAGGGGAGCCTACATGTATATAAATGAGAATGGATGTTAATGGACTTTTTTAATAATACTTTTAATTTAAATATATTTCAAATCCTCTATCGGTTGCAAGTCTTTTCAAAAGGATGTTATTAGTTCAAAATGTCCACGAGAGGTCATGGTTCTGAGATGAAGTCCAGTGATACTGAAAGTTAGCTGCCATTTGACTCAGCCTAAAACTACCATCAACTCACGATTTGACAGCTGTCAAATTATTCCCTTATCACTTTTGTGCAACTAAATAGTTCAAACTGAGAATCAAGAAAACAATTTCCCTTCTACAAGCCTCAACAGCCAGAACGATATGTGCATGCTTATTGATGAGCTAAAAAGTATAGTTAATTGGACTTACAAGCCAATAGACATACGATGAAAGCGTACGTCTTCCCCACAGACACTGCCATGGACCGTCTGACTGAAGCTTGCATTGACCAAACAAGAAGCTGGAAGAGTTTCCATAGAAGCAAGAACGTGACTTCTATTTTTCCCAGACAGAGACCCATCCAAGTCTTCCAAAACTGCTGCATGAGGAAATGGAAATGCTACCAAGTTTGGAGAGTTTGGAAACTTTAACTGTTTGGCCTTCACAGTAAATCCACCTATAAATTGGAAGACAGAAAGACTATTAAATCACAAATGGCAACTAAGTTCTTTGGAGTGCTCTCAACATTTGAAATTGCATATTTGTATAGTTTTTAAAAATTTCACTTATTTATTCAAGAAAAACTTGTGAGTGTTTACTGTATGCAGGGTCTGTGGTAGGTGCTGGAGATACAGAGGTAAACAAGACCACATTGGCACTGCCTTCATGTTATCTGTATGTCTGTAGCCTGGGGCAGTGATCCTCAGCTGGGGAGTGTGGGGCGGTGGGGAGGTGTCTCCCAGGGGACTTTTGAAACTGTTCGGAGACATTTGTGGCTGACACAACTGGCAGTGGAGGGGGTGAGGTATGCTATTGACATCGAGAGGGTAGAGGTCAGGGATGCTGCTAAACATTCTACAATGTACAAGATAGCCCCACAACAAAAAAATTATCCGGACCTAAATATCAATATGAGGGTATGAAACTCTGTTCTAGTGGGATATAGAGACCCAGAACACTAATTTCCTAATTACTAAACACTAAAGGTAATACAAGGAGCCCAGGTGGCAGAACAGTTGAGCACTCAACTGCTAACCAAAAGGTTGGCCATTCGAACCCTTCAAGAGAAAGATCTGGCGATCTGCTTCCATAAAGATTATAGCCACGAAAACCTTATGGGGCAGTTCTACTATGTCACATGGGGTCACTATGAGTCGGAATCAACGCAACGGCATCCAACAACGACAAAGGTGCTATGGTTTAATCTTTCAATCTTTCTGCTCTGGAATTAGACACACCAGCACAACCTCTTATCATGAGCTTTATACTTTAGACATTTACCCTCAAAAGTGACTTTCAATAAATCATGTGGGCAAAGAGTAATAATAACACATTTTGTAAGTGTTAGCACTAGGGCTGTACTTCTTGGTAGTCTCTCCCTCACACCACCGCCCTGTGATTCATTGGGACTGCTAGTCCAGTTGCTTAGGAAGACACTATGGCAGGGTCTTCTGATTCATACACCCCTATCATTAAAAGAAAAATAATTGAGTACACATCTCCCAGGACATATAGTAGCAAACTGCTGTATTATATACACTATAAAACATATTTTTTTAAAATGAAAATAAAAAAGAATAAGAGGCTTCATATTATATAATTTCAATTATATGGCATTCTAGAAAAGGCAAAACTGTACAGACAGTAGACAGAAATCAGTGGTTTCCAGGGGCTGAAGAGGATTGGGGAGGGATGAATAGGTGGAGCACAGCAGATGTTTTAGGGCAGTGAAACTAGTTTGTATGATACCGTAATAGTGGATACATGACATTATGCATTTGTCAAAACTCAAAGAATTGTACAACACAAAGAGTGAACTCTAATGTAAATCCTGGACTTTAAGTTAATAATATACAGATATTGGTTCATAATTGTAAAAAATGTACCACACTAAAGCAAGATACTAATAATAGAGGAAACTGTGGGCAGGAGGAGAGGTAGTATTTGGGAAGTCCCTGTAATTTCTGCTCAATTTTTCAGTAAATCTAAAATTGCTCTAAAAATAAACTCTATTAATTTAAAAACATAAGATACAAATAAATTGAACCTCTAATGTTTTTGTTCTGTATCCCAACAAAATGCATGAGTGAATTTAGTCACAAATCCAAAATTTCACGATTCTACCTCTGGAAACTTCTGTAGGTCATCTAATAGCACAACCACTTGCAGCCCTACACTTTAGTTTACTGGACTTCTCTGCAATTCCCCAAGCAAAATTTGTTGTTTGGATTCTTCTTTCTTTCTATCTATCTATCTATCTATCTGTCTGTCTGTCTATCCATCTATCTATATTTCTATCTATCTATCATCTATCTATCTCTACTGTATGTGTGCATATGCTGTTCCTAATACCTAGAAATCTTACCCTGCCTCCTCCCCCTGGCAAACTTCTATTCACCTATCAAAACCCTGATGGAGAGTCACTTCTGTGAAATCTTACTTGACCCACTTCCTCAGTCCCTTCACCAACCTTGTTCTGTCTTCTAATCCTGCACTCATTACACTGTATTACAATGACTGTTTTAGACATTTCTTTTCATGCGTGCATTAAGAGCTCCTACAGGACAGGAACTATCTGTTTTTTTTCACCTTTCTGTCCCTAGTTCCTAGACAGAGCCTGGGATAGACAGTTTTTAACCATATGAAGGAGATGGTTCAGCCAAGGCCATCCAGTGAGAAGGGATTAGTGCTCATCAGTAGTGAGATTTTTTTCAGTGTTTATGAATGATATAAAACAGTGAAGAGATTAAAGAACTAAGGAATCATGGTTTGAAATGCTTGCCATAAGGCATTTTTTATTCCTATTATTATTTCCACAATCTTAAATCCAGATACCACTCAAATAAAAACAATCTTTGGCTCTGCCTACATAGAATAAGGAAAAAAAAAAAAAAAGCCAAGTGGAGACTTGCTGATTATTCATGTAATTAAAAAAACAAACAAACAGTTATCTAATTTGGTGATTCAAACCACAAGAGCATATTTACTTGAATTACTTGGTTTGGCTGTTTACAATGATCAGATCAACTAGATTGCTCTCTACCTCTGTTCACCTTGGACCATGAGTCCTCCAAGGTATTTCTCACCCCATCTGAGATATGTTTAACAAGTGAGCGTAGAATCTGTAGGGTTCTCTTTGTGCGTATAACAAGCCTTGGGCTGTTGCAAATTTTAAGTACCTGAACTCTGGCTCTTTCAGGAAAGGTTGCATCTGTGTTAGGATACATGCATGTGTCCATCCAATCCCATTCATTGATTTAATCAGTGAACTGCCCACTAGGCACAGGCTCTCTGCCAGGTACCAATGCTATGACCCTGAGCAA